AGATTTAGAAATTCTGGCTATCTGAAGCAAGGAAAAAGTGATATATTATATGTACTTAATCTTTCTTCTTCTTCTCAAAATCTTGTCGAACTTGGTAAAATACCAAGTATGTATCTTTTACAGTGGAGATTGGTCCAATCAATACGATCCGAGTAATTGTTACTATTATATTCTCAATTTCGTCAATAAAAAATTTGTGAACATATTTTTTATTATAATAAATACCTAATAACTTCGATTTTGTTTTTTAGTCTGCAAAATCTAATAGGTACTTAGATAGTGATCTAGTGATCTATCTTTAATACAAAAATTGGACCGGTTTTATAGGTACGGAAGAGTAATTAAATATCTGTAAGTATCATAACATTAAAGTCTTAATTATATAAGAGAGTGATTTATTGACATTAATCCAATTTCTTAATAAAGTTCATAAGACTTTGTCAACTAAACACATAAAAGGGAAATTCCATAGAACATAAGTCTCATTTCTCATTCCACAATCGGCTTCTCCGTCAATAGGAAAACTAGAAACGAAAGGGAAGACAACAGTAGACGAAATGTTTTCAGGCTAAATACCGCGACTCGAGTGTGTTTGAAGAAGAGAAAAGTCTTGGTACGAGAAGCTCGTCGAGACTTTCGGTAAATGCAATTTAGTTTTAAGAATCTGAGGGTATCTACGTCTTCATAGGTACATAAAGCGTCCGGAGGAGAATGAACTCGAGGATGGACGGAAACATTGTTTTCCCTTCCGTGAGAGGAAACGCACTTCTGCACATATTCGTCAATGGGTGTCAAGTCGTAAATCAAGTACAGAAATTACTGTTTCTGTTGGAAGAGGTTCTAATTTGCCGCTACTGTTAATTCCAAATATAATCACTTCAATTTACTTCGCAAACAGTTTTAGTAAGTTTTTATAATAATTTTAGGGTTTAGGGTTGGGAAATAATGCGTTATTTCTATCGCTACTATTATTATCATTACTTTTTTTGGTAACAACCATCTTTTTTCTATTTGTAACGGTAACCATTACATTTTTTTTTAAATAACGATAATGAATTCAACCACGTCTATTAAGTTAGCACAGCCATTTCAGCATAATTAAATGCAACCTATACTACATTTTTTTTGCTAATTTATTACTCTATTCCCGATTTTTTTACTCCAGCCGATTCGCTAAAATACATAATTATGTTAGCTTAAGATAGCACTAAAGATAGCACAGTCACGTCAAAAAAGTCAAGTCAAAGAAAAAAAGTAGCAAATGAAAAATCAAGTACTTTTTTTTTGCTCATTATTTGCTCTGTTTTAAAACATTTAAAAAAGAAACGAATTGTTACTTTTTAGATGACATTACATTTAAAATAAGTAGCGAGTGACAGTAACAAGTTACTTTTAACAAAAAGCAATGCGATATTTTTATAAAATACCGTTTAAAGCCAGTTCTTACTTATCCCCTTATTCTTCTTATTTTTAATACGACTAAATAAGAAAATCGATCTAAACTAGATCTTGATGCTTAATATTATAATATTTTGAAACTTATATCCACTTTTGTAAATTGCGCACCGATTTAATTTTCAGTCTTAAAACAATTCTAAATTAAAAGTGGAATAATAACATAACAAATTAAACAGGCAATTTAATAATATAATTTAATAATGTTAGTAATAATAATCTTAAAATCTTACTATAAAAAATTTATTGCAAAAAATCTTAATTTTTAATAACGCGTATTTATTATTCAAAAATTACTACTATTACATTCTCAATCTCTTAATAATAATCTAGACAGTCTAACGATCTGCAATTTAGGTAATCGTGAGAAAATAGATACCGCAAAAATCCGCGATGCCAACACGCAGTCAGTTTATCGTACAGACGATATGAGATAAATCGCGCGGATAAATCGTCGTATTTATTGCCGAGAAAAAGCAACGAAGGAAAGGCGTTAATCGAGCGTGTTGGAACATTTTAAAATTCATCGTAGATTTTGCGGATGGGGTGAAAATCGCTCTTGTAGGTGCGATAGAAATCGTTCGGAGATAAGTGCCATTGTTAAGCACAAAACAGGAAATATTCAGCAGGATTTTTCCCATCTCCCTCATCCGACTCTCTTTCGACTGTGTTTCGGGAATAACGCACGCATTTTTGGGGATGAAACGATCCGTCCAATGAAAGGGTGAGCGTCCTCGCTTCCTCGAGGGCACTTGGAAATACGGAGGGTAAATTCGGAGGTGTCGCTCTCGCAGTCGAGTTCAAAACGTATACCTTCGTACGCGCCGCAGAATTACGGTTCGTAATCCTTTACAACGCGCCTCGCAGAGTAATTACCGGATTCACGTTGTCGCTTTAATCCTCTTAGCGCGCCGAAGAAGTAGAAGCGCCCGCCACAAAAAACTCGAAATTGCGTGCACGTGGTGAAATTAGAATTTTATTATCTTTCAAATTAGATATTTAATATTATTAATTAACATAATTAATTATTATAATAATTAATTATTGATTAATTATAATTAATTTTTATACACTATAATTCTTCCAATACGATCATTTATAGTGTGATAAATGATGAAGAGTTCGCTTATGATATCTAAAAAGAATATCTGCATGGAAAAGACAGTTTTATTTTGAAGAGACCCATAACAGAATTTGGACCCACAAACAATTTTGTAAAACAAGAGTGAGAAAGAAAAGAACATATTGCTTCTTTTAATATATGCTATCTCGTTCTAATTTATATTGTCTCATCATTCTCACTAAAGTTGACAAAAACAACTAATCAAACGTTTGTCATCTTGTAGTCGGTTCTGTTATAGGATTTTTAGATTTTTATTAAAAATCTAAAAATTTAACTAGATGCGGATCTGAAAATAGTTTTGTCAGACTATCAAAATAAAGTAGGACACTCCAAGCTGATTGCTGGAATGCCAAAACTGTTCGCCGCATTGTTCATTATGTTTGAGATTCCTAATTATTTGGATGGTCCAACAAAATTATTTCCAGATTTGTATCTAGCTCTAAATTTTTAGATACCTCAGCAAATTCTTTCCGTGCGCAATTTCAAACGGACGATCGCGAACAAGTACAAATGAGCAACTTGTGCTCCGATGCCAGTAGTCGCTACGCAGTTTGCTCCCACTGAAACAAGCTTGTTCATTCGTGTTTGTTCTCATTTACTCGGATTCCAGTCTTACGGAATAACTGAGTAGCGCCTAATAGCGTCTCACTATTCAACATCGCCAAGTTGTCGTTCGAACGATAGACCGTCTCGTGATATCGTCGTTGCGGCGAGTAAACAGCTGATCGGATCGCTGGAATCGCGATTTTGAGACGTGCGTAATTGAGTTAAATTCCCTGATGAAATTCGGGATCCGGAACGACGTTTGCACACACGCGGCACACAGATTTGTCATCGTGCGCAATTTTCCCATGGGTATCGCGAATAAACCGGTAAGGCGCGACGGCAACTGAACTTAACTTTGTCGGAGTCTCTTCCCGCGAGATTGCTTTTCCTCCTTAAGTCCCTTCTATTATGAAATGGAACGCAACGAGTGTGTGTGTTTTCATGCGCGTACGAGAATGTCGAAGTATAGACGGCAGTGTTTGTCTCAATTTTCTATTAAACAAAGTATTAAGTTAATAACGTTCCGTAAAATCTTGTTCGCGTAAAATATTTTTAATCGCGTAAAAAACATACATGCTAGATTATCTTAAATAGTCAAATTTGTCTACAATAGGATTATAAAAATAGTTTTAGAAATAAATAATTCATTATTTAATTGTAATTATTTAATTAATTGATAAGTGCATTGAAATGATTATTTAGTAAAATATAGACCTGTTTATGTTACTTGCACTTTTTGCACTTAGAATTTTCACTTTTTCTCTTTTCAACGACTAAATATGTACAATTTCTCATTTTCAGTACAAGCATTTTTCAACGCGAACAAATCCCGTGACTATTAATACTGTATATTAATTATAACAAAAAATTTATATCAATGACAAGCGAATTTTATAATGACAGATGTAATAAATTACTTTTCAATAAAGCTCTTGTATTTGCTCCTTACATTGGAGACGTCAAATAAATTATTAAATGACGTAAATCAAGATAGAGTTGACCACATTTTTCCAGCGAAATTTCACTCTTAGATTTCTTCCTCGAACAATAAAAGTACTGCAGCGATATGAGGCAACCGCGCGTTCCGATCAGGTTACCCGTTTGGTCCGTTGCTGGACCAAAATTGGATTACTTTTCTCGTTAACTCTTCGCATCGATGGAGGGGCGGCAAGTTGGATAGAAGTGACGAGGAACGGGGGGAACAGGCGATAGAGAAAAGAACGACACAGGCAATCCCGTGGAAATGAATCGGGATTACTTTTACGACGTGTCTCAAAGTTCCCAATGAGCGTGGCAGCGAATGGGGGAGGTTTTTGTCGGGGACGCGCAGGCGGAAGGGTTGGATATAAAATTAGCTTAGACTTTGCGGAATTGGCGAGTAGCTATAGGGGTTGATAAAGGCGATCGAGGGTAAAACTCCGGTCGCGGAGTTTCGGCGAAATCGTCCGGATTGATAGGCACATGGTTTATGCCGAGCGATACCGAAAAGACATTCGGGAGGGAACAATTTATAATGTTGGACTATCTCTTCTTCTCGTCTCTATCGCAGCGAAAAGCTTCACGCGCGATTTTACCCGCTAATAAAATCTGAACTCGTCGAGAAGTCCGGGGTGCTCCAATAAATAATACAAGA